CTTTAGGTGAGTGTATATTTGTTAATTCTATGTGGCAGTCAGGGCTTGCTAGCTCCACTTATTACTGTAAAATTTAGAGAAATATGCTCTCATTATATGTGGGATTCCAGTTCTAAGAAAAGAATAAAAAGAAAATTACTGTTGCATGTTTGGGAAACTGTGGTCTGCTAGATACTTGGAGTGATTGGAGGAACCTGGAACCTCTTCCTCACCTCTGCATCTGGGGCTGGTGACAGTTACAGATGTTCAGGGAAGCAACACTGTCATGTTCACAAGTGTTTTATTCTAAAACGTCCCAGTACAGCTTCAGATAGAGGCTGAGTGTTTCGATTTCATTTTACGCCCCAGTCAGTCATATACTGAACATGTATCTTATGCCGGAAGGAGGAGTCCCTGCAGACACCCTCTGTATATATGGAGAACATGATCACAACGTCTTCTGATTTGTTATTGTACCGTTTGATGAGTTCCTGTAGTCCCTCTCATAAGGCAATGCTGAGTGTGATTGGTGGATGGGGGTGTGGTCTCCCTGGGGGGTTAAATACAAATTCGCTCCCTTACCGTGAAAGCTCAAAGAAGAGGGTCGAGGTCTGAGGTTTGAGGACTGTCAGTGTGACATAATGAAGATGGAGGTGTCCCTGGTCAGCCTCTCTCTCCCCTTCCTGGTCCTGCTCACCACAGTCAGTGAGTACTGAGCTCTACCTTTGCTCCTGTGGTGCACTTGGTCAGGGGGTCAGATCCTGAAAGTGCGTAGCACAATTCAAGTCAAGTCATAGATAGAATAATCCTTCCAAAGTACAATACAAAAAAGTTATCAAATTATGCAGTGTTATACAGAATTGGTTTCATGCTTGTTAAATGATGTTTTTTTTTTTTTTTTTTACTAAAATGACATTTTATGTAAAAACGGAAATTATACTTTGTAATTAACATATGTCATAATCAGGGCAAAGTAGCAGAATCTTTTTGCTTTGGATATTCAGGGTAAAAAATACCTGCAATCTATTTGAAAACAGAAATGCTTAAAGTTATTTGCAAACTTTTTTTACTTAAGATACTTAAGATTTTTGGCATATTATTAAAAGATTTCTGACTATTATGCTTTTATAACTGACAGTAGAGTAAAAAAAGTTCAATCAGTTCAATGTACCTGGCAGGAATTATAGTAAGACTGGAAAGAATTTTTGTTCTTGCTGCTGAATTTAGTAAGTTTCAGGCTTTTTCACGGCTCAGCTTTTCGCTAGCAAATAATTTGCTGGTATTTAAAAATACAGACTATATAATAAACAAAATAATAAACAAATAAAACCATATCATTAAAATATAAATTGATTAATTTGTCCTGCTCCACCTGATGTAGAGGGCAGTTGAGAATACGCTTGCTTTCTTTTTTCAGATCCAGTAAGAATCTGGCCCAAAAAATATTCATATTCCCAAACTGCAAAATGCGCTTAACTTATATTGTATTATATTTAGTTGCAAATTTATGTTTAGCAAGTTTCCCTCTTTTGTATTCAAAAATTAAATTTAATGTTAAATATAAACATTCTATTAAAAAAAAAACTTTAAACTGTTCTTTTAATTATAAATATTAAAAAAAAAAAAAAAAAAAACTTTAAACTGTTTCTTCTTATGAAATCGCATGCACAGTAGGAGTAACGCTACAAATGTCAGAAGAGTGACGTATCTGACTGCAGTTCTTGGTGTGCACAATAAATTGTGTATAAATTTAAAATACAGGTTTTTTTGTGAGCAGAATATAAAAATATGTGGCCTGTAATAGTATTCAAACCATTCCCATGGACATTAGCTAGACCTTGTCTTGTGCGATTAGAAAATTCTTTATATTCTAAATTCACTACGGCTCTGTGCTCCTGGTCCTGAAGGGCAGTAAATCTTTCGTAAAATAAGAAATAAAAATATTATAGTATAAATACATTCACGTTTAAGATTTATTGATGTTGTGGATAACAGAGATCAGGAATTAAAAATATATTTGGAGAAAGGCTGTATTTAATAGAAAGGAGAGATTAAACGTGTTAGTTAGGGAAGCTTCTGGAACAGGGATCTCAAACTGGAGAAACCCGGGGCCCCTCGCTAGGAGGTCTCCCGCTCAGAGGACCACTTGGGTTTTTTCACTGAAAGAGAAATAAATAATATATATATAATCTGCTAAATAACCAACAGTAAAATTTTAAGTTGAAGGCCTGCATTCCCCATAGATACACCTGATTCTCTATCCAGCCCCTAAACGTCTACACTGTCTTCCTTTTCCTATTCTCCTG